CAGTATGATTAAATAAAACCTTATATTGAATTAGACTTTGAATCAAGTGATTTATCCTCAAGTTTTAAGTGTTTAAGTATAATTAATCGAGAATTCAACTCTCACTGTCTTGAAAATAATATCTCCTTCCCCCCAAAATCCCAATGTTAAAAAAAAAAAAAAAAAAAAAAAAAGAAGAAGAAGAAGAAAGAAAGAAAGACTAAACCTTATGCTGAACAGTTGAGGGTTTTATCTGCCACTCTAGTAGCTTGGAGACTTAAAATGTCACTTTCATGAAAATAACAGTCAAAACTTCTAAAAAAGAGACACATTTTACAACTTTATTTTATGTTTTGCAATTTTTTTTATAATTTTATATTGTACAAGTAACGGTCTTTTATTGGGGAGAAGATAAAATCAAAGTCTGGCTTCTTCATGGAGGTACAGTACAGAGAAATTATCAGACTTTTACTAGGAAGCTTCAGAATTGTGTTCATCCAAGACTTCCTCAATGGTAACAAATCGGCCCTTCTCAATGGAAAGTTGTGCTGCAACTCCTATGGCAACTGAAATCAATCCATCATGCAAATCAACAGCCGGAGTTTTTGCACCTTTTGCTCTGACTGCAGACAAGAAGTTTAGGTGCTCCAAATAGCTAGAGCCATGATGGAGCCCGTTGTACCTGAAAAAAAAAAAGCATCATCTTGAGAGCCTAGCATGAACAAGAAACTCTTTTCACTAACTTCAACAACAGAAAGGAGCAGGAGCATGTTTATGATTTGAAATGGTATCAGTCAGAGAGAGGAGCAGACTTTATCCGTTCATCTTCAGCTTTCAAAGTTTGCACCCCATCTCTTCCAGCCTCTCGAGAACCAAAGCGCACTATGCTCTCAGGAACAAAAGCTTCACCCTGTTACAATATCAAACCCAAAATGGAAGAAAAGACAATTAAGATGTGCATGTTAAACCAGGAATGACGCAACTTTTGGATGAAAGAAGAGTGAATGCACCAAAATGCGGATCAAAACTGTCAAAATAAGCTACCCTATATAACAAAGAGCTGAATATGAAATGGGCATATTACAGGACTAGTTTTTTGTGAGCTTAGTTTGCAGCTCTTCTATCTTCTTATTTGATCCATTTCTTTAACGTTGTAAGTTGTGCTCTGAGGCTCTGAGCATTTCCCATTCTCCGTTTTAACAATAATTGTATTTGTTAGCAATTCACAGAGAGAGAGAGAGAGAGAGGGTGGAGACACCTTTCCAATGTCACCCACAACAGATATTTCTTGCTCATTTCTACTCCCTTCAGCAAACATGCACAAGTCAAGCATCCCTCTAGAACCATTATCAAATTCAACAATGACATATGAATTGTCAATAATGTCAGGTACCTGCACCACAATATAAGGAGAAGCCATCAAAATTCACAGCTTTTAAAAACTGAAGTTTCAGCAAATAAATAAAACTTAAAAAAAAAAAAACTAATTTAGAAACAATAGCATGACAAACTAAGTGTTAAGATCCAATCAAGAACAGGGAGTGTGTAGAGGAATTAAATCAAATTGAAGGGTACCTCATACTAACTGAAAAAATCTAATGAATTAAAATTACTGAATGTACAGAAAACCTTTCAGAAACCATTGTGATTATGCATGCAGAGCTATTTAGACCAGTGTCCAGTTATCAAGACTACCTTCCCATCATATATTTCATCTTTGTGATTAACATCCATAGCACCGGAAGCCATCACACGGACAGGATTTGCACCTGCAAACAGCCTCATCAAATCAAAGAAGTGGCAACACTTCTCTACCAGGGTTCCACCTGTGTTAATATTAAACCTGTTCCAATTGTTGACCTATTGTAAGAATAGGTTAGAACTTAGGAGACACACAAACACAGAGAGCTAAGTCACAGAAAGAAAATTTGAGTTGCAAGTTTACCTTAACTAGAAAGGGGAACCTATGTTCTCGAATTGCCACCATCTTCACCTGTCCAAGAGTTCCACCCTTGACAATTTCTATCAATTTAGCAACTGGGGGCATATATCTGTATTCTAGTCCAACTTGTACCAGCATATCTGGCCTCTTTCTAGCAGCATTTACAACCTTAAATTTATGATAAACCATAATCACATGATCAGTTATAGGAAGAAGAAGGTAGTCAAGATCTAAATGAATTAAATAGCTGTATCATATTCACCGGAGGGAAAAAAAAAAAGTAGCTGTAGCACACCTTCATGGCCACCTACATCTAGAAGCAGAATTATCGAGATATGTGTTAATCTAAAGCACATTCACACCTTAGCAACTTAAAAATAGAAGATTTTATGCCAGTGCCAGAGTCCACATTAAGAAAACAGTTCAATCCATTGATGCAATAAAACATTAGAAGAAAAGTACGTTGTGGAGCAGCTAACGTTCCTCTGGCAAATTATGGATTTCATGCACCCAATAAGTAGAACTTATAATAACAGAAGCAAGGGCTGACCTTTCTGCAATCAGCAACTGTGGTGCATAATGGCTTCTCCACTAACACATGATGGGGTTTAGGATGGCTGAGAATATCCATAAGTATCTGAAAATGAGTCATGTTTGGAGACGATACAACCACAACATCACACAACCCACTGTCAAGAAGCTCCCGGTGCCCTGAAAAAACCTTGTAAAACCGCCCCAAAACTATAATCCAATGCATCATACTCATATATAACAAAGTACTCTTGAGAAACTAATGAATTAAAGAAAAATAAAAGAAACCACCTTCCTTCCACAATGCATTTATTCCAATTAGATAAATATAGAGAATCAAAATTCTCAAGTTTTGCTTACAACCCATCTCTAAAACTAACTTCATCAACTATCTGTTCACAATTCGATTGACTTATGTACATTACATACCTGAAGACTCCAACCAAAGGACTGTGCGAGTTGCAGGGCAAGTTGTTGAGAGGGAACATGAGGATCGGCTACGCAAGCAACAGCGACACCGTGACTTCTGAGATGGTGCAGATTGATGAGATGCTCTCTCCCCATCATTCCAACCCCCACGATTCCATAATTCACCATCACAGGAGCTGCCATGGCGAAGTTTTGGCTAAGACTGAAGTCAACTCAACTCAAGCCTGTTACTTTTTGGAAACTCAGGCCTGTTACTAGGTAATACGGAGTACCATAAATCACATACAAATCGGACCGATTGGACAACCACACAGAGCGTGGACTCGTGCAGGCCGATTCTACCGGCTCCCTTTTTGTTTTGGTAATAACTGCTAGGAAGAAGGGGAAATCAATCTAAAAAAAGAAAAAGAAAAAATCAGGATGTTGAGGGTAAATTTGATAAAATTTAAATTCATACTATATTTCTACGTATTTTTTTCCTAATTAAGACAATGTGTTTGTCAATTTAAAAAACTATCTTATAGTTTAGGTTGTAAAATATAAGCCTTCAATAAGAAGTATATCCTCTAATACGAGGAGTAGGAATGACAATTTCTCAGTGTCTGTAGGCTCTGTAAGGGTCCTGCCATGGGGAAAGACAAGGATGGGAAGAATTTTCTTCTTGTGAAATTTTGTAGGGAACAGTCCCACAAGATCTCATTCCTGGTGAAGTATTAAAAAATAAAGAAAAAATATTAAATTCAACATTATTTAAATATTTAATTCACAATCATAAACATACCTATTATTTATTTTTAATTTTAATGTAATACTAAAATCCAATTATTTTAAACTAAACCAAATCTAATATTTTTTTTTACTTTAACCCATCTATTTAAAATATTTTTAAAATAATAAATTTAAATAATTAAATTAATTTTATAATATAAATTAGCGGCAATAGAGAATTCTTAGTAGGGATCGATTCCCCACAAGTAAATGGAAATGGTGGGCAAATTCTATCCCACTCAAAAATCCCCAGGAGAATCTCTATCCCCATGTTCCAAGGGATGGGGAGGCACTCCCCAACCCACATTAAGTTCGGCTGCATATGAGAATTAGCTACTAGGTTGTACTTAGATGAAGGATTTCAATGAAGAGAATAACGTCTCATGTAAGAAAATGTTTTGATGGTAATATAAAAGCTTGTCATTTTGAAATACCACTTGAAATGTACATTTTTGAAATCCCTCCTCCAAATCCTTATTTTTCCTCTAATTAATAATCTCTCTCCCCTCTAACCCACATACCTCAAATTGCAGCTCCAAATGATCAATACCCAATCTTACAATAGCTTTAAAAGGTTAAGAAATGAAAAACCATACTGATCACCAAAAAATATTCCTTTTAGAGCTACATCCATCCAGTCATTCAAACAATCTTCTTTGACATCCTTATATAAACATGAATAAAACAGGATGACAGATCACTAATTAAGTTGCCTTAGTTCCAATTGTTTTGACCTTTTTGCTAGGGAATAGCTCCCATCACTAGACTTTTGGTAATCCAGACTTTCAATATCTGCCTGTTCAATCAAGAAGAAATTGAACCGACTAAAGAATTTATATCTCGTCACCCTCAACTATAACAACATAAACTCCACTTTTCTTCCTTGAAACATAACAGAATTCACAAACAATCCACCACCAAAAGAACCATGTTATGCCTCATGGAGAGCAGGCCATCATGTAAACAATACAAGGAAAGGAAAACAAGGAATTCTAACTCTGAACCGTGCAACCTGAAGCACATTCTATGCAACTGCAAAACAGTATAGCTGGAGGGGTAGACGACGGAGGCTGAAACAGGTAATAGTTATAGCAATGGCTAACTCAAGTAGCTTTGTTATCATCTCCCCTGTATTTTTCAGCAGAGAAAGGCTCATTCATAACACTCGGAAATCAGCTAATTAGCAAAACCCAATGAAATGAATCAAACAACATGCAAATCATCTTTTGTAAATTTGAATTACTATCCAAACACACAATAACAGATTGAGAGGTTCAATCAGGGACTTCTTCCTTTCTCATCTTCCTCCTTGTGCCTTATACACCCCTTTGAATTGCATCTAAGATTCTATCTTCTCAATATCCCTATATCAAAACTTGTTCCTGGAGATATCAATAATGCAAATATTAGTTCCTAAAATTAGTAAGCAAGATGAACAAAAAGAAACAGACCAAATTGCCATCATCTCTGCAATAAATAATAATCCAAACAACAAAGAAATGCTTTAGAATTCAATTCAAGATTCAAATTGCCAACAGACCTAAATCTGAACTGAAAATTTCAAGCTAGACAAGATGAATAAAGCAATTAGAAGCTGAAATCAAAATTAACAGTAGATCTACATTGCTATGGTTAATTCAATTTAAGATAAGCAAAAAACTGATTAAAAACAACCAAAACGAAAAAGGCAAAGGGCACAACTACGTCTGTTTGGAGTACGAGGAAGAGGAGGGGACACGCTTAGTACGGAACATCATGTATCCGACCGGCAACACGACTCCGATCATCATTATTGTTGCTCCGATGATGTATCTCAACGGACTCGGAGGCTGCACCTCCATCACACCGCCGAACTGCACCGCACACGAATGAAAATCCGGAATCAACACTAAAATCACGCCTAGAAGAACCGATCTAATAATACCTAAAATCAAGAGATCGGAATCATATCAGAAAGAGAATTACCAGCATTTGTTGCCTCTTTTAAGCTGTTTGAGCAGAAGATCTTGCTCTCTCGATGAAGGAAGTCGCCGGAGGAAGAAGCTTCGATTCGGGTTGGTTGCGGATCTGGGTTTCGCGATTCCCCACCGTGATATAGGTCCGGTCAGCTTCGGTTGATTTGCTCGTGTTCTGCGGCTTCTACCACGTCAAGACCCAGGAAGTATTCAAGAAATGGTAACGAAACGCGGCGTTTGCACAAAACACTATGTTTGGACTTATTTGCAACTTTATTAGTTGAGTGGCTCTAGATAGCTCTTTCCTAGAAACGTTGGGAGCTTACAATATTGTTTTGCCAATAAAAATTCTAGGAAGCCGTTGGTGGGCGGCTGCGGCGAGCTCCAACAAACTTGGAATTTGAAGCTGAGGCCGCCAAGTTTTTGGGTCTCCGTGGGGAGAGATGACTCTGACGAGAAGGGTATCTTCGAACTTGCATCAAGTTCTTGGATTTGCGAAGAGGTCCTTTAGTTCCTTCTCCTCTCACCCACGGCATCCATGTCTTCCATTGCCCGAGGAAGTGCTACTGTCCAATACCCACTTCTAGATTCCTACTCTTTTCAATTTCCCATTTTGGTTCAGAGCATTTTATCGGCAAAATATAACCTTTTTTTTTTTTTCAATTGAAAGGAATGATTTCTGGATTCTTCTGTCATTGTTGCTTGGTTTGGTATTAAAATTTGTTATTAGATTTAGGACGCAGTTGGAATCTGATAGCTGTCAAACTAGAAATGGAAATTAGAAAGAAAGAACAGGAGAATTAAGAAGAGATCAGAAGAGAAACAGAGAGGAGGAAGAAGAAAGAACATGAAGCTGAGAGGGAGAAAAAGATACAGAGAGAGAAGCCAAGTACAATATTCATTCAACGATATTACAATTACAGAGCATTGTCTCCTATATACTACTAATATGGCTTAACAGACTAACAACCTTCCTTTAACAAACTCTATCAACTCTAAAAACCTTGCCAGCTCAGCCCCTATAAAATGAACTGTATCAGAATCGTTGCCAAGCATCGGATTGTATTGCTTCAAGAGGTGGAAGCATACTTGGTGCTGATGTTTCTGTCCCCGAAAACAAGAATGTCTTCTATTCTAGAAGGAATTCATTATTTTTTCCTTGTTTTGTCATATTTGGTATGAGAAAGAAGATAACTTTAGTAGGTTTACCAAAGAGAAAGGAATTGATTGAATGGCTCTGAAATTGTCAGATATATTTGGTGATCAACCTTAAATGAGTAATGGCAGTATATGAGTTTGCCCTGATGAAACCCTTGTCAGCAGAAACAGTTATGGGACCATTGTACTTGGTGTTTGTTGCAAATTAGAATTAGGTTGATATTGAAAGAGCGTGTAGTATGTGTCTGTTGTTATTATAGTAATTAATTTGCTGAACCATGGTTAGGGCTGGATCTTTTTCTGTACCAATTTGCAGTGAGATGGTCCCGTGAAAAAATGGATGAGGGCTTCCTCAAAGTTTCAAAAATGTTCAGTGCCACAAGGTCTGTTGTTAGATTGCCTGATCTAGACTCTAAGTTTAAGATTGCTATTCTGGTTTCAAAACAGGTTTATATTGTTTCTTTTTTCCTATTTTTGGGTTTTGCATTATGAGACTGATTTTATCTTTCGCCAGGACCACTGCCTGGTGGATTTGTTACATGGTTGGCAGAATGGAAAACTTCCAGTTGATATTACCCGTGTGCTAATGTGATGGATAAAATGTTTGATCAATTTAGCTGATTCCTTTCCTTTTATTTTCTTTTTTTAAAACTCCTTATTTCCCATCTATCTGCATATGTTTTGCCGATTTAGGTTATCATTTTTTTGACAGCAATCATGATAGAGGATCAAACACCCATGTGAGTCACTTTCTTGAACGAAATGGTATTTCATACCATTATTTGCATCCTACAAAAGAGAATAAAAGAGAAAGGGAGATCTTGGAGTTGGTTCCGGATACTGATTTTTTAGTACTTGCCAGGTACATGCAGGTAAATCAGATTATAAGGTTTTCTTTCCTTGTTATGTTTAAGCATATAGAATTTAGGTAAAACATTCTACTGTCAAACTTCATAAGACTAACTTGAAGAACAGGCCTCACTGGCTACGCCTTTAATTCTACCATTGAGGGTACATTTTTATTGAAAATCTTGGAGAATATTGTAGCATCTATTCTAGCAGTATGTCCTATGTTTACTTAAACACCTGTATTCAGATAGGCATTTCCAAATAATTGAACCAACTTGTTCTATTATTGCTGAAACCTTGAATATCAATTCATCCTTGCAGATATTATCTGGTCATTTTTTGAGGACTTATGGTAAGGATGTAATTAGCATTCACCATGGCCTTCTGCCATCATTTAAGGGTGGGCATCCATCTAAACATGTCAGTTTTCTTGTGTTCTTCGCCAATCATAAAAAGTTCTCCATTTTTTCTGATTCCTTCCTAACTCTGAAAACATGTTGAGATTGCTACATTATGTTGGCAGGCTTTTGAAGCAGGTGTGAAGTTAATTGGTGGCAAGTCACTTTGTGACTGAAGATTTTGATTCCGGACCTATTATTGAACAGATGGTAATTCCTATAAAACTTTGCTATTTCTTCTTGTGTAGATAGGTTGCTGTTGACGATGATTATTCATGTCTTCTAAATCAAGTGCAAAATGAAATTATTTGAGACTGCTCTTTCCAATTGTGGGACCTGCGAATCATTTCTGAACTATTGTTTGTCAGAAACAAAAGCTAACTTTTGACAAACTAGAGTTTGACAGCTGAGATGTTAATAATTAGTGTGTTCAACCAGGGAAGGGTTATTCTTTTGGTCACAGCAACTGAAGATCTTTATAGAAGTGTCATCTTTATCATTTAAGTCATATGAAGTAATGCCGTGTGACTCTGTTTGATGCACATTTAATAGTACTTTTTCGTTTGATGTAAATGCTATTGCAAAATATGGTTCCTTAAAGTAACAGCCAGGTGCTTTCTTAACTTTCTTCCTCAGGTTGAGAGTGTTATCCACAGAGACAATTTGTGGAGTTTCATACTAAAATCAGAGAACCTTGAGAAGCAATGCCTTGTAAAGGCTATAAAATCATATTGTGAGCTTTGAGTACTACCATACAAGTTAAAGAAGACTGTTGTATTTTGAGAAGACAATAAAAACTAACGCAGAGGTTGGGAGGTGAGAGTTAATTTCATTCTGTATTTACCTGTAGTCATTCATTTGAATAATACTTTCAAAATATATTCACTCCATATATTCTGTGCCCCAACTTATGCAAAAAACAGTTTCAGTTTCTTTATGTACATCATCTCACAACAACTAAAGAAAAAGAGAAAAAAAGAAAAAATAAAAATAAAAACGTAGAAGCTTACCTCTGCTGTAAACTGCATGCCTGCTACAGTTCATATACTATATACCATCGTGGATATTCAAAGATTCAAGAGAAAACTCAGTAGTTTCAGAGTAGCTAACTTGATGCAGAAGGTTTTGAATCCCATCAACCCATCTCTGCTTATGAATCTTGCTCTTGCACTTGAATTCTAGAAGACCTTCTGCGGTCTTGAGCCCAAAGTATAGTTCATCAGAATTTTCCCTTTCTTTTCTGTATGGCCATGCCTTAGTCTCATCACAAACTCCATAAACAATACCTATTTAGCATCAACAGAATGCACTTAAATGTTAATAGAATAGCATAGAAGGTCAGATATTTAGTTTCCAGAATTTGAAGAAAGGAATGCTTACTTTTCTTCTTCTTGGAGAAAGCTCCTCCTACATGCTTGCTTTTCAGCTTAACTATGACCTGTGATTTCTTGTCAATGTAAACAGAGACGCGTTTCCATCGCAGTATTCCTGAGAAAAAGCAATAACAAGTGCTTAATGAATCCGTCCTGATGGATTTCAACTGCTTTCTATGAAATAATACTCTTTTATATTCTTTAACGGAAAATCACCTTTCTGTGTTTGCTGTAAAAGTTCACCTTCACAAGGAGGATTCAGTTCCTTGATTTGAGAATAAAAAGCAGCCGCCACAGCAGCAGCAGACCATTGAGCTTCTGTCAAGCTTCTCTCATAAGGACTTATAGCTGCATTCCTCCTTGCTTCTTTTGGTAATCTAGGTTTCAAAGCTGCTTCTCCTCTCAAAGCTTATTTAACAAAGAACACAGCTTTTCAATCAAGCTACAAACAGTAGAAATTTTATTCCTAGTTATTAAAGAAACGGAGAGATTACCAAAAATACCTGTAGCGGCTGCAGCTGTGAGAGTCATCAGATCACCGGGACTGTGAATGTCAACAGACGATTGTACAGCAGAAGCCACACGATCGTGATCAGCCCCAGCAAACTCAGCTAACTCAATACAATGAGATGCTAAAAGCTCTGTAGCCGACGCTAATGCCATGCTCATTTTCGAGCCTGTACCGCTGGAGTTTCCTGCCGCAGCCACCGCAGCCAGACCGGTAGCTAGTCCGGCAACTGAGACAGCGGAGTGTATCCTGGCGTTTTCTGCTCGGATCTTATCTTTCTTCTTCACTGCTCCGTTGCTAAACTCCTTGTTGTGATGAAACCATTTTCCTATCGCCCCTGTTTTTCGCCCATTGATCGAATTCACAACCTTCCCCGCCTACAAAAAAAATCAAGAAAAAAGTAAGAATCAATCAAGAAAAAGAAAACCAAAAACCATAAATAAGAATACTTACGATTTGTGGGGAAATGAAGGTTTCTGGAAATAAACTTGAATTTGTATCGAAACGAAAGTGCTTCTGCTTCTGAGCAAGAGCTTTAGAAATTTCCATAGCAGAGAGACTCCATGATCGAGACAGAAACTCCATCGGTTCCTTCGGTGTTTGCGGCTGTGGAATACACGGAAACGGCGCCTCATCGTTCATCTCTCCTTCCCCCATTACATTCTCCAATCCATTCCCACAAGCCAGATAAAACCCACTTTCCATTTTCTCAGATTGCCTGAAAAGCAACGGAACAAATGGCACACCCAAAACACTAAACACAGGGTTGTTATATAGATACAGAGAAGGAACCAGAACGGTACTTAGGGACAGAATCATAAACAGGACCAAATATCAAAATCTTGTGCTTTGAATTGCCGCCATGGTTCAGGCTTCGGGTCAAAACAGAATTAATTCACGTAGCTCAAAACATCAAAATATTAAAAAATTGCAAAGCATCATCCTGGATAAAAGGAAATTGTTGCTAATCAGTCATGCAAGCAGACACTTGATTATCATTAACATAGTACTCCTGTAAATGGGAATTAAAAATACTCTAAAAGTTGGATTAATGATTTTCCCTTTTTTTTTCTTTCTTTTTGTGGGTTTAGCGCGCCATTTCACTTTCGGTCGGTAATAGTTTGAAAGCATGACTTGTGGGGAGACCAGCCAATGGCGTTTGTGGGTGGCCGGAATGGGGGGGTGGGAGCCTTTTTTGGTGAATTAGATTCGCCCCACTTTGCTTACTTTTTTTATCCAACGGTTCAGATCGAAACCTTGCATGTGTTTATAGGAAAATGAGTTGTGTAAACTCACTTTTTTATTGTTTGCTTTCGTGTTAATTATTAAAATATAATATAAATATAGTTAATTTAATTAATTTTTATATTTTACATGTATTATTATATCTTTAAATTTATTTGTATTCGGATAATAATTAGTACACACTTGATTCAACACACTGTACAATATACTCATTAAAAAATTATTATTTTATGATCTAAAATTAAAGATAAATAAATTTAAAAATACAATCATATAGATATGATACAGAAATCAAATGAATCAATTATAATTATATCATACTTTTAATGGTTAAACCAAAAATATATTAAAAAATATGTTAAATCGAACATGTACCACTCATTTTCCATATTAGTAACTGTTCTTTTTAATATTTTAATGGGAGACAGAGTGTACAAACTACAAATTAGGATGGAACTTTTAACCGATCCACTTTGTTGTCTATCCTTTTAATCATTTTCATTTGCATATATCATACCACTAGAGCTAATGATTTTTCACTGGTTATAAAAGGAGATTATCCCTGAGATAGTTGGCAATTACAGGGTTTGATTACTGCATCAAGTTCCACGTGACTTTATATGGGTGGTTTCAAGTCTATTTCTCTTCCCAAAACCAGCAACCAGCTCAAATTATTCAATCTCTGTATGGTCAGGAAAATTTTGTCCAGTCGGGTTAGTTGACTCATCTTAAACCTTTGCTACCATCAATGTGGAAGCAATTTAAATAAATCTAGGATATCTTTTCACTTGAGCCAAAATTTTCAGCTGAAAATCAAGGTCGGTTTGAAGATATATGGATATAAAGCAATGGAAGCAAATCTATTAAAGATATATACCATAAAATGGCTAAGTTCCAATAACAAAGGTTGGTGTGATGTCAACTTCCATTCTGTTTTATGAGGGTGAAATCCTTCAGCCTAGCAACACTAGGGTTTCCAATATAGTTAGGCAAGCTGTACAGTCATTGTGCAGCTGTGCTTGTCTTCGGTGTGAGACCCTCATGCACTCATGCACGTGTTGGACACCGACTATCTAATTTTCAAGGTGGGTCTTTATCGCTAAGTCAAAGATTTTATTTATCTGAGTCAAAGATTTTATTTATAAATAGAAGAGTATTTCTTTTCATGAAATTATTTATATGCTAAATTAATCAAATTTCTTTTGCTTTTACTTTCACATATTTATATTTGTTTCCCAAAATTTTTAAATTTTGAGATACTCATAGTATAATAGCTAAGGCTTCGGATCTCTACTGGTCATTTTGAACTAAAAATTAAGAAAGGGAATACATAACAATGCTATAATTATAATATTACATAAAATTACAAACTTATAATTATGACATAATATTAAATGAATATGATATAATATTAAATGTGTAGAGACATACAATATTATAGGTGCACTCATAAATTAAACGAACCAATTATATGTCGACATATGATGTTATAATCTTACAATGCCATGTGGCGTTGTAACTATAGTATTTTAGGGAAATAAATGGTGAAGGGCTAAAGATTTAATTAAGAAAATGATATAATTATAATATTACATGAAATTGTAAACTTATGACATGAGATTTCATTATATAATTACTTTTTTCATTTAAGAGTATACTTATGATATTATTATATGCATCTACTCATTTAATAATACATTGTACTCATTTAACGACATATTATAACTATAAATTAATAATTCTATGTAACATTATAAGTATAATGCTATGGATTTAATTATAGTAAACTAAAGAGACATCTCCTATCCAGATGATAACATCATTTGAGTGAGCCAATCCATACAAGAATTCTTTAATTTTAATACCATCACTCACATAATAGAAGAGGTTGGATGTTCCCATCCCCTATCATATATTGTAAGTCCAATTTCTATCAAGTTTCTTATGTGGTTGAACATTATTGGCTTTAGGAAATAATATCAGTATAGATGATATGCTTTTTATGTCTCATGTGTTCATAAATAGATGATATACTTCTGATAAGAATGCTTTGTCATTTAGAACTTACATATGTTATCATGTGTTCAAAAATAAACGATTTGCTTGTAATCAGAATCATGTATTATTTAGAACTTACATATGCCATATCATCTATATTGAGATTATTTCTTAAACTAAAATTACATATGACATGTCATGTTAAAAAAAAAAATTAATACATTAATAGCATATTTGAATTAAAATATTATAATTTAATTCATTAAAAATATTATTTTCTCTCCTCATCTCTCTTGTATTTCTCTTAATTTTTTTTAATAGAAAAAATGATTAAATTAATAAGTTAATATCTGTTTTGAGAAGTATTGAGCTTGAAATTAAAAGTACATTTCATCAGCTGCTCTTTTGAACAACAGTGATCATCATTGAATCACAATAAAAAAATTTATATTTCTCTTAATTTAAACATACTATAAGAGTAAATGACTTGAAATATGATTATGTATTTTCAATCTTCAATTTTATCCTTAAAAAAAAAAGAAAAAGAAAAAAGAAAAGAAAAGTACAGCCCTTCTTTTCAACCTGTCGATTTCATTTGCCGTTAATAATTGCATAGGCATGTCTTTGAATTTTTTCTCTTTTTCATTTTTGGATAGCCATGTCTTGGATTGTTAGGTGAAATAGGAAGGGGATATGGAAGCATGGAGTTGAGTAAATTTGTCCACAAAGGGTAAACGTCATCTTCCACTCATTGCAGTTGAAAAAGACCCACTAATAATATAAGCAGAACTTTTCTGCCCCCACGGGTTCACCAAACAAATGAGCTCCACCTCACGAGCATGAATTTTTCCATCAATTCACACAATTAATGGAAAAATCTTGACACTTAATAGTAAAACATGATATAATTACAATTTTTATGTATCATTAATATAATAAATTGTAATAATAACATATTATTATAAAATTAATTTTTTATTTAA